GTCTTGTGTTTTTGTTAAGAACTATGAGTCAATATTCTGACTGACTGACTGACTGGCTGGCTGGTGTCTGGCCGCGCGCGACGTCTATTTGTACCGACTTTCTCTCATATCGCGTCTGTTTGGGGTCTTTGATGTTGAAAATGTTTCTCTGGTCGAGGTTGGGTTCCGGGGATGGGTGGGAGAGAAGGGAGAGAGGTGGCAGAGAGGGGTGGTGGAGAGAAGGGAGAGGTGGCAGAAGAGAGGGAGTGGGAGAGGGTGGGGGTGGGAGAGGGGGTGGGGTGGGAGGAGAGAGGTGGCAGAGGGGTGGGGGTGGGAGAGAAGGGAGGGTGGCAGAGAGGTGGGGTGGGAGAAGGGAGAGGTGAGAGAGGTGGGGAGAGAGAAGGGGAGGGTGGCAGGGGTGGGGGTGGGAGAGAAGGGGAGAGAGGTGGCAGAGAGGGGTGGGGGGCACGAAGGAGGGGAAAGGGTTAGTTATTATCAAATATTGTGCTAAAAAATTTAAGAACAGATATAGGTGGGTTTTTTTTTTTATCAATGTCTAGTTTATTTGAAGAATTTGTGTAATGTGTATAATAAGTTCTTCAGCGAATGTGTATAGGTACTGTTGAGGTCTTGAGAATATGTATAGGTACTTTTAAGAATGAATAAATATACACCATACGTGCTAACAACATCAGGAAGGTATAGTGTCTTAGTTATGGTGAAAATACAGACTTGGGAAAGACGAACAAGTGGCTACAATAAATCCCTTGTTTTAATAGTGCCTTAACCTTCTTCTATATTAATTACATATTATTGTATACAGTTCAGGTAATCCCATGAGGTGAGATTTATTGATTGATTTATTTATTTTATTATTTATTTATTTATTTTATTATTTATTTATTTATTTTATTTATTTATGGCCACTTATCCTATGAGCTGTAGCGATATTTAAACCGAGATAGAAATATATGTTTGCCTATAACCTATATCATGTTTATAGAAGCAGTATATATATCACCTTCTCTATAGGATCCTATGAAGAAGAAGCTATAGGCAGTTTAGGAGTCTTTATGGAATTGTGGTCCTGTTTTTCTGGTGTTTGAAGCTGTTTAGTCTCCTGGTCAAGCTGGTGAATGTGAGGTGGTCAGGTGAGCTTTATTCCCACCAAGCTGGACCGCGTGGACTCGACTAAGCTTTGACGTAGTTAAGCTGAGTTATTAAGCTTTATACTGTATATCCACCCCCAAGTGAGAACCAGTATACGAGTGTCAGTGTGAATTATACGTAGAGTTTAGTTAATACCTGTACTAACTGATTATACTGAGAGAGGGGGAGAAAAAATATATGGGGGGGGTTGTTTATGGTGGGGTGATGGGGGGGCGTCGTCTGTGTCACCCCTTCACCCCACCCTCAATCCCTTTGGCTATTTTGTGTGAATATTGGCAAGCTATTACTTAGGCATAGCACGGTAATGCCCCGGCGACACGCAACAATGACGCTAAGGCTCTTGATCCCTTCGTTTACACCCATATTTTCGTCTCTATCACCAGTTTTTTTTAAAAGAGTGTCGAGTGTTGGATAAAATTTGGGGGTTTCAGTGTTTTTTATGTTTTTAAATTATGTCTTGTCTTAGATTTTGTTTAAGTCATCTGATTTATTTTTGTTTTAGGTTTTGGGTTTGTTATATGTTTAGATAGATAGATAGATAGATAGTTGGGTGACTGTATTCATCTCCTGTACACTATCACGGGGTAGAGTACAGTGTTCGATCCGGCCCTCACCAGCGCGTGTTCCCTGATCACTTGTCATGAGAATGCAGTTCATGCAGTGGTAAAAGAGATAAGTTATCTTGACGTAAATAATCTTTATCTTTACTTAGGTTTAATGGCATCATAGGAAGACCTTAAGTGCTTATCGTATGCTAGTGAATTATATTATTGATCTGAAGTTGGTGAGTGGAAATTTAAATATGAGGGAAAGTTAGCTGGGAGGAGAGGTAGCTGGGAGGGGGAGGTTAGAGGGGAGAATGTTGCATGGGGGGGATTAGTGAGGAACTGAGGAGGGGAAACGGAAGTGAGGGGAGATTCACGGTTGGCAACATGGATCGCTTCGCCAATTTTTCCCAATAAAAATGGTAATGACAAAAGTTATTGAGGGACGAGAGCCGTGAATATATATACTGTGTTGGTCACCAGTACAGGGTGGTGCGTGGCTATACCCCAGCGTGCCTCACTGTGGCACTGATCACCGCCACAGCCTCGTCACTTAACGAGCCAGAATTCGCTTTATCAAGGCAGCAGTTACCCAATATTGACATTTAATTGGGACGCCCCTCTGTCGCTGCCTTCATCCTCCCCTCTACACCACCCTCCTACCTCCTCCCCTCTACACCACCCTCCTACCTCCTCCCCACTACACCACCCTCCTACCTCCTCCCCTCTACACCACCCTCCTACCTCCTCCCCTCTACACCACCCTCCTACCTCCCCCTCTACACCACCCACCTACCTCCTCCCTCTACCACCCACCTACCTCCTCCCCTACACCACCTCCTACACCACCACCCACCTACCTCCTCCCTCTACCCCCACCCTCCCTACCTCCTCCTCTACCACCCACCTACCTCCTCCTCTACACCACCCTCCTACCTCCTCCTCTACACCCACCCACCTACCTCCTCCCCCTCACCACTCCTACCCACCCTCCACACCACACCCTCCTCCACACACCCCTCCCTACCTCCCTCCCCTACACCACCTCTACCTCCCTCCCCTCCACCACACCACCCACCCTCCTCCCCCCACCCACACCACCCCCCCACACCCCACCTCCTCCCCCCACACACCACCCACCTACCCCCTCCTCCCCCTACACCACCCTACACTCCTCCCCTCTACACCAATACTAACCCACTCCACCTCCCTCCCTCTCTACACACCACCCTCCCTACCCTCCCCTCCCCCACACCACCCACCCACCCTACCTCCTCCCCTCCACACCACCCACACCACACTCCTCCCCTCTACACCACCCCTCCCCACCCTCCCTCCCTCCTACACCCACCCACCCACCCTCCCCCTCCCCACCACCCACCTCCTCCTCCCCCCACACCACCCACCCACCTCCTCCCCCACACCACCCCCCACCTCCTCCCCTCTACACCACCCTCCCCACTCCTCCCCACTACACCACCCCCCACCTCCCCCACTACACCACCCTCCCTACCTCCCCCCCACACCACCTCCCACTCCTCCCCCACACCACCCTCCTACCTCCTCCCCCACCACACCACCTCCCCACCTCCTCCTCACTACCCCTCCTCTAACTCCTCCCTCTACACCACCCTCCCACCTCCCTCCCCTCTCCTACCTCCCCCCCTACACCACCCTCCTACACACACTCCCACTCCTACACCACCTCCCCACTACACCACCCTCCCTCCTCCTCCCCACACCACCTCTCCCACCCTCCTCCCTCTACACCACCTACCTCCTCCCCTCTACACCACCCTCCTACCTCCTCCCCCACCACACCTCACCTCCTCCCACCTCCTCCCCACTACACCACCCTCCCCCCTCCTCCCACTACAACACCCTCCTCCCCCACCTCAATGTCTGCCTCCCTTACTCTCCTATACTCTCCCTCACCCTCTCACCCATTCCGATCCTTCCTTCCTTCCTTCCTTCCTTCTTTATTATCCAATTCTATTATTCTTCCCTTTTTCCTCTTAAGCTACTAACTTTCCTCTCCCTCACTTCCTTCATTCTCCCTCACAGCTCCCTCACCCTCCCTCACTCCCTGAACCTCCCTCATCCTGAACCTCCCTCACCCCCTCACACTCCCTCACTCCCTGAACCTCCCCACACTCCCTCACTCCTGAACCTCTCCCCCCCTCACACTCCCTCACCCCCCTGAACCTCCTCCCCCTGAACTTCACTCACCCCCCTGAACCTCCCTTACCCCCTGAACCTAACTCACTCTATTAAGGTTTTTAAATCACAAGGTACGTCAGTTAAGGGCTACAGGTGTTAAGTGCTACAAGGGTTCAACGCTAAGAGGGTTCTGTGTCACGATATTTTGAGCGCTAAGAGGAGTGGACGCTATGTTGATTAAGCGCTAAGAGAGTCAAACGCCACAAGAACTCAAGAGCTGTAACACAAGATTGTCCCATGTAGGTGCTCACGTGTGGCTATGTCAGGGTAGCATTCCCAAGTGTGTATTCCAACAAGATGGAGACGATGCTCAAGCGCTCAATTTCCGGGACTGCCACTCCTTCTCTTTATTTTCTCTTCCCCACGCTTTTGTTATGCCCCTTCAACTCTATAATTGGTCGTTAGGAAAAGTTTTGGGGAATTATAACAGCAAACATCACAAGCTAGAGCGGTGGATTGGACACTTAGGGGTGGGTCTTAGAATACCACTTAAGTGTCATGTTTTTCCAATCAGCTGAAGGGAAGAGAGTTTTAATGATTGGTCGAGTTCAATAGTGACGTCATTAAGATCCAGCGATTGGTCGAGTTTACCTCTGACGTCAAGTAGCGGCGATATGATTGGTTGAATGGGTAACGAATGTCAACAGGGACGTAAAGTATTGGTTTCTTTAATGGTAATATCGCCCCTGTGTCCCTCCCCTACCTGGGTAACTTATTGATGTATGTGTGTTTGTATTTCATTAATTGATGTAACTCGCCTTTTTTTTTTCCCTTTGTCTTCCTCCCCTTAGCATAATCAATCTCCCTTTATACCCTATCTTCCTCCTCCCGCCTATACTGTTTACCTCCCCCTTACCCTATTTTCCTCCTCCCCCTTATCCTATCTTCCTCCTTCCTCTTACCCTATCTTCCTCCTCCCGCTTATGCTGTTTACCTCCCCCCTTACCCTATTTTCCTCCTCCCCCTTATCCTATCTTCCTCCTTCCCCTTACCCCATCCTCCTCCTCCCCCTAACATTATCCTCCGCTGGATGACTTAGTTGTTCCTTTATCCAAACTAAGAGCTGCCGTGTCTCCCTCTTCACAGATCCTGGTGGCGTCGTCGGAAGAAGCGGCCGAGTACGAGGAAGTGGAAGTGGACTCGGGCTTCCCCATCCTGCCTGACATGCGCTTCAGTAAAGACCGCCGCTTCCTCAACTGATCAATCTCCACCAACAAGGTCAGTTCAAGCCACCATCACCCTCCACCTGCTACCTACACCTGCCTGCATTACACCTACCACTTACCTGCCACCCCCACCTGCCACCCCCACCTACCCACCCCACCACCCCACCCCCACCTACCCACCCCCCCTACCACTTACCTACCACCCCCCACCTACCCACCCCCTACCCCACCCACCTACTATCCCCACCCCACACCCCCACCTACCACCCCACCTGCCCTACCACCCCACCTACACCTACTACCCCACCTACTGCACCCCCACCTACCTCCCCCCACCTCTACCCCCACCTACCCCCATCTACCCTATACCCCACCTACCATCACCCCACCTACCCACCCCCATCTACCACCTACTCCCCCCACCTACCAGCCCCACCTACACCCCAGGAGACCTCAGGTGTCTCTCCCTGGATACCGGTAATTACCTCCATTTAAAACTTATTTTCTATCAATTTGAGACGACGTGAAAGTTTTAAAAGGCGCGTATGGTGGCGGCGTCTGTAGGAGGCGCTGAAGAAGCAAAAGACGCTATTTTTTGTTACAATTATGATGGGCTGAGGGATAGGGGATGACCCACAGCGAAGGAGAGAGAGAGAGAGAGAGAGAGAGAGAGAGAGAGAGAGAGAGAGAGAGAGAGAGAGAGAGTACCGCTTACACCACTCATTTCAAGGTACTGTGTAGGTCTTATTTCTGTTGACTTTCCTTAATCGACCGAGAATCCAGGGAGACAGTTTAAACTAATAAGGACCCAAGGCGTCATCCTGGGGTCAGTGTCTTCTTAAGGTGAGTGTAAAGGAAGCCTGCGGGCCACACACTCCACCGTTGATAAAGTCCTTAAAAATAAATTGGAATTCTTTATCTAGGAAGGAATTAATATGATATGGAAATGGATTATTTTACTGATAATGGTGTGAGAGAGAGAGAGAGAGAGAGAGAGAGAGAGAGAGAGAGAGAGAGAGAGAGAGAGAGAGAGAGAGAGAGAGAGAGATCCGTCTTCCTTTACTCGCCATTATTATCATCTCTCTTGTAACTTGTCTTAATTATTCGCCACTCTCAATCTTCTCCTTTATTACGACATCACTCTCCTTCCTTCATTGTTACACACACACACACACAAGCTCACTATTGCTTTTGAGAGTTAATAATAGCCCTACCTACACGTGTCCTTTTTTACATACATACATATATACATACATGCATACATACATACATACAAAGAACATTTTACTTTTCATTCACAAGAGTAAGTTTTTTCTTCTCACGATTAAAGCAACAGTTTGTTCTCTTAACGAAGGCATCTGTGTACCAAGGAACTTTATCACGTTCTTTTGTTCTCTTATTTACACCTTTTATTACCTCTTCCCTTTCCTCCTCCTTCCCCTCCTTCAGATAACTGGTGGGTAAGGCCTTTATAGCACCCCTCCCTCCTCGTACCCTCCTTCCCTCCCTAGTAATCCCCATCTCCCTTGTACCTTCCCTACGTAGTAATGCTCCTCCATTCCTTGTACCCCCTCCCTCGCAACCCTCTCTCCCTCCCTCGTAACCCCCCTTCCTCCCTAGTTACCCCCCCCTCTCTCCCTCCCTCATGCTCACTATTAAAGCTCTATATCCTCCCCCTCAAGAGCCTCTACACACCCTTCCGCTCTACTCTATAAGACTCTAGACTGTCTCTGGTATTCTCATGGGTCGTTTTAGTGAACCTCAAGAGCTTCCCTCGATAGCTTAGTCTGGTTGTTATTCTCTCAATTCATTTTTATTGTTCCTTCCTCTACTCGGGTTTGCTGTTCTGATTTATCCATCATTGTTTCCTTCCTTCCTTCTTTCCTTCCTGTTTGACTTGGTGGTTTTCCTTTACAATTCGAGGCTGGGCGGGACCCCTTACTATTGGTCGCCTCCTTCCCCACCACACAAAACAACTTCCTATGTGTGTGGAAACTTTTTTGGTTGAATAAGACCTTGGGAATACATTTTTGTCTCTCTCTCTCTCTCTCTCTCTCTCTCTCTCTCTCTCTCCTCCACCAACCTCCCAACTTTCATTCCCTTTGTCTTTTTATCCTTCTGTATCTGTCTTGTGGGGGTCCAAGGGAAGAAAGGGACATTTTATATCCTTTGATATTACTGTTGTTGAGCAATTAAGTGTGACGGGCTAACAAGGCGGGGTTGACCACTAGTCCTGTACTCTGGTAAACCTAACACTGTATTGTTGATAATGTTCAGTAAATATCCGGCCAGATAATGTGTTTGTTGACTCCTTTTGTCGTCAACTTGTGCTGTCTTCTTCGTCACTGTCTCTGCCAACATCACCCTCGACGCTGCCCCCAACGTTTTACGGTAACTGCTGCCACCAACGCCGCCGCTGCCACCTCTAGCTGCTCGGTCACTACTGGCGGTGCCACTCCGGGTGTTATTGGTCCCTTACGGTTTATCAAAATAACTGGAAAGTTTGTGTAAACAAGAAGTGTGTAGTGGCGGGCTGGGGTGGCGGCTCAAACCCTCTAGCTCGCTCGTCTCCTCTACCGAAAATGTCCTGTCGTGATTTTTGTCGATTTTTTTTAATACTAGCTGCAGGTAGCCGAGAGGCCGGGGAAACGTTCACACGAACTTAGAAAAACTCAAACTCAAACTTTTTCCTTTTTCTTCCATTTTATATATTTTTTTTTTTATGGGCAGAGATTTCTTAAAGCGCTAGAGAGTTACTATAGCACCAGGGATCCTCTGTACAGTGGCACCAGTGACACTCCTGTAGGGTGACTTTAGAGGCCCCCACCACAGCAGTACTAGAAAGGCCTGGCTGTGAGGGCCATTAACTGCCCTACTCCCAGTCATTGGAGGATGGAAGGCTTAGCTCAACCATTTTTTCCCCTGGGCGTCACTCGCTCAGCGCGGGTCGTCTGCTGCCGTAAATGCATCGAAAACCGATCATTGGGATTTAGTCGGACGCGTCTGTGTTGACTCTGCCAATACTGAGGTAAAAACAGGAGGCAGCGGCGTCATATAGGACCTGCACGCTGTCTACCTCCAATAATGCTTTTTCCCTTCACTTCCACACACCATTGGACCACCAGAGACCAGACACGTACTGTTTTTTATTTTGTATCGAGAAATTTTAGCTGAAATGCGATCAACTTTTTATGCATCTTGCAAGATTACGCAACGTGTATGTACAGTGTACTCTAAATATTATTTGTTTATTTCCTATGAGATTCTATATTTGGGTCTCACCTTACCCAGACCAACGGAGTCAGGAAGTGAGTAGGACATTCAGTACCGTCTGTCTGTCTTTTAGTTTGTATTCCTGACATACACCAGTTACAGCTTTACTTTTAAGGTCAAAGGTCAAGATCATGGGGCCTCGTAGTGCATCAATGGGGTCAGCACTTCTCAAACCTGCCACCCACACACACCCACACACCCGCCCACCCACCCACCCACCCACCCCTACGTCTCTACCTGTATCCTCTCACATATTCCCTCTATATCCAGCCATAACTCTCACCTGTCCACCACTTCCAGCCAGCGTGTGTGATCTATCCCACTGTCTCCCTCACCTGGGTTGACACCTCTTCTCTCGCCTCCCACCATCAGCATTTTTGGTTATGTCTGTTGTAAAGTCACCGCCGCCGCCGCCTCTGTATAGGGTTAGCCGGAATCACCACCACTACTACTACCACCACCCTCACCATAGTCCACCACCACACTCGCCATAGTCCACGACCACTACTACCACCACGACCACTATCACCACAGCTACTACCACCACTACCACCATTGCTTACTTACTTACTCGAGTTCTACCTTGACTTAGATTTTTAGATCAGTGACAATTTTTTTTTTTTTTTCTGGATTTGTCTGGTCTTTTCTTCGTCTCATTCAAGTTGTCCGCGTGACCTTCTGACTTTTCTTGTCCTCCCACGACCTCTCTTGAGCTCCCATGACCTCTCTTGGCTTCCCACGTCCTCTCTTCACCTTCCACAAACACTCTTGGCCTCCCACATACTCCTCTGCCCTTCCACATACTCCTCTGCCCTCCTGCCTCCCTGGCCTCAGCACCGTCCTCCATGAGTAATGCAGCACCAAGTAGATGGAGCATTCCTAGAGTCTGTCACAGTCCATCTTGACAGCCTCTCTCTCTCTCTCTCTCTCTCTCTCTCTCTCTCTCTCTCTCTCTCTCTCTCTCTCTCTCTCTCTCTCTCTCTTTTTATAATATTTTCTCCTCTGTTTTTTCTTTTTATCGCTCGTTTTTCATTTCTCTCTCTCTCTCTCTCTCTCTCTCTCTCTCTCTCTCTCTCTAGGTGGGGGTGGAGTGCCACGCCCACAAGCCAGCTGGTTGGGAAGTCTGATACGTGGGCAGAACTTGGAAAGGCTTTGTTTGGCCTCCTCTGCTGGCACTGTTTTTCTCCATGTGGGGACACGACCAGGGTGGACCTGTGAGATCTTTATTTACTCTAAAAGGGAGGGTGGGTTGGTGGGGGATATGAAGAGGGAAGGGTGAGGGAGAAAGGAATGGAGATGTAGGAAGAGGAGGAAATGAGGGGGATAGGGGAGGGAAATAGAGAAGGGAGGTGGAAGGAGTGGGGAAGAAGAGGAAGGGATGGGGTGGGTGAAGAATGAGGGGAGAGAGTGGGGGAAGGGAGGAAGGGAAGAAGGGGAAAGAATAATAGCAAATGGGACAGGGAGAGAAGAGGGCTGGATAAGAGGAGAGGAAGGGATTGGGGATGAGGAGGAAAGGTGAAGAAGGAATTGAGAGGAAGGAAAAGATTAGAAGAATACAACACGAGAGAACAGGGAAGAGGAGGAGGTGGGGGAAGAAGAGGGGGAGGCAGGAGAAAAGATAACAAACAAGGGAGGTAGGGGAAACGAGGACTGATGGCTGTGGAGGAATAGGGGGAAGAAGGGGAGGGGTGTTGGGGAAGGGGGGGGGCGGAGGGGGAAGTTGCTACCGGAAATA